TTTAAAATATATAAATTATATTATAATTAAAATTTGTAATGATTAAATATTTTATCATATAAATTAAAATTATAACTTATAATATAATTTATATTGAGATACAAAATTATTTGTTAATTATTGATATATTTCAAAATATAGTGAAATTTAGTTTAAAAATAAAATATAAATTAAATGGAATAAGATGTTAAAAGCTGCTAAGAATACTCTTATCCAATAGAAAAAATAGTTAAAAATATTCATGCATTATTTTATTTTGTATTATTTTAAATTTAAAGAACGAAATACATTTAGATTCTAGAGAGATATACTGAAGTGAATTTAATCTTAGATGATATTTATTTTATAAGATTGATTTTGATTACAATTAGAATTAAACTTAAGATGAAATAAAAAATACTAAAATTATGAAATGTTTCCCAAAACCCTAACGGACCGACTCCAGTTTCCAGCGCATACTTGTTGTCTCCTTTCTCTCTCTCTTCGCTGTAGCAGAGACAATGAGAATGGAGCTTCCGAGTCTCTGCTTTCTGGAGAAAGCGACGCCGTTGCTCTCTGTTGTTGAGGTGGCGCTGCTTCATACTCTCCTCGCTACTGCCAAATCTCTTGCTTGCTTTCTCCTCGTGGTAAAATTCCCCCTTTCAGTATTCACATTTACCTAAATCATTCGGATTGCATATTTTTCTATGCGCTTTACTTTTCACTCGTTTCGCTTATTGTTTCCTCCGTTGGTTTTAGTTCATTGTACCGTTGTGTGTTTTCTATGTGGAATTCATGAATGAGGCTTTCGTTGTGTATCATTGCATAAGTTAGTACTGGAGAATGGCTACCTGTAGAACAAGAACACATTTTGATTCGACTGTTGAATAGTGAGTGCTGAATGGAGCTAGATCTTTTTGTTTTCACATTCACCTAATTGCTTCAGCTTACCACACACTACTACTTTTTTTTGTTAGTTTTTTTAGGTGAAATTATTTACTGCCTGCGTAGCTTGCTACTCAACATGTTTTGTGTGATTCATGGTGTATCTAAATACTAGCTGTATCTAATATGCTGGGTTTTATGTCACTAGCGGTACCTTTAATACCAATAGTTTATTCAGCATGTCAACAGGGATTCCTACTATACATTTGTGGCTAATTTTAGGGGATTTCTAGTTTTCTTGAACAGGGTATTGCGTTGATTGTGTCTGTAGTCTGCACCACATGCTTGATTGATGGTTTTGCAGTTTCAGCTTGTCTAACAGTGAAACTTTTGCTTCTTTATTTCTATAGCTATATTCGGTTATTCTTTGTAATTCATTCTATTTGTACCCAATTGCCCTTCCAGCCTTTTCTTCTTTCTCAAAGTAGAGAGCTCTTTTGAAAAAAAAATAAAAATTATTCGAATTGTTTCCAGTTACAAACTATTTCTACATAATTGCAATTCTGCTTGAAACTGTGCTCAGATTATCAAACTGCGATGTTGAGATCATAGTATACTTGCACCTCTGCTCTGTATATGTCATTAGCTTTGTTACTAGTTTATTTTTAACTAGGTGAAATTAAAACATTTGCTTCATTATACAAACAATTACATTTGCATGGAAGTAAAGATTTATTATTATTTTTTTGTGTTTTTGCCAGACCGGATCTCTTCTTACAGATGTCAATAATTTAGTGTCACCAATGGATGGAAGGTAACGATGAAAATATATACCTTAATACTGTTCTGGTCGTTTTGATTTAGAATTTGAAATATCAAATTTTCCTGATTTGTTTCAATTCTTGGTTAGGTTTCTTTTAAACGAACTGTGCAAGGGGAAACATGCTTCTGAAGAAAACAAGGATGCTAGTGAAACAGAGGATGATGAGGATGATGAAGACGTGAATGATGGAGATGATGACGATGACCAGGGAGATGACGAGGATTTCTCTGGTGATGAAGGTGAGGGAGGAGGAGCTGATTCTGATGATGATCCTGAGGCCAATGGTGGAGGTGGAAGTGGTGATGAGAACGAGGATGACGATGATGATGATGACGACGGTGATAATGATGACGATGATGGAGAAGAAGATGATGAAGAGGAAGAGGATGAAGAGGATGAGGAATCTCTCCAACCACCTTCTAAGAAAAGGAAATGAGAATTAGGCTAGTTAGGCAAATTGTCATCTTTCTGCCTTTGTAATGCTTTCTAGTTTCTAGTCAAATTTAGTTCTTAGGACAGATACCAGCTTGGACCTGTCACCCCATGTTTTTGTTGTCTATTATCATAATTTATAAACATTATAATTAATATACTGATTGTTACAATGCTATTAATCTATGGCAGCTTTAACAAAGCCGAGTAACAGAGGATAAATAGAACAAGGAGAGGTTGTTGGAAAAGTGAACATAAAACGGAAAAGAAAATATAAGAAACTTTTATAAAATGGAAGATTGCTGTAATGGGAGGTCACCACCGGCGGAAGGGGTTGACTGTTGAAGAGCCTGTCTTTTTTGTTTGGTTCTCGACAATTAGACGAATAGTCAAAATGTTTATGATTCAAACGGATCATGTTTTATCCTTTTCTTTTCTTTAGATTGCTATTTGCTAGTGCCATGGACATCATGTTAATCGCTCGCCATGCCATAGCACTTTGTAAAAAACCGCTCACTATTACCGGCATGTCCTCTAGTGGTAACACTAACATTGCATTGTTACTATTATTATGTATCATCCCCTACTTACTATTATGGTAATTGCTTGTCATAAGCTCATAATTATATCTTGTTATTGTCATTGTTGGTTCAAATTCCAAGGTAATCAAAGAAACCGTTATCCTTATTTCAAGGACGAATTGAGAAACAAAGGAAGGGTAGCAAGTAAGCTGCATTTTCGTATAAGGAAGGTTGGATGACTAGGTTTAAACTCTTCCTATGTATGATCATAGTAAAAATGTGTTGGGTAGTTCACAGACTGGGCTGAGCAATCTAGAAAGTAAAAAACAATCGACTCACCCTATGAGCCAAGTTGATTAATTAAAGAAATAAGTCGAAATTTTAAAATTTAAGACAATTCATGAATTGACTTTAGTTTAATGACAATGATCTTTTTGACCTTATATTTTGTTTTTGAAGTGAATCTTTTAACTCATAACTTTTTTACTTTTTAAACTTAATTCAAGCGAATTAGGTATGACAATAGAATGGGTTGGATATGAATTTTTGAAGTGAATCACAAATAATTCACATCATAATAAACAATCACACATAATTAGATATTAAATTTTTTTAAAACAATTAAATTGGGGATGGGGGCGAGGACAAGTAAGTATATACCCGTCCCCTTTTCCAATTTAATATTTCGATTTTACTCGTACCCATATCCATATCCAGTCAAACCAAGTATTTTCCGTCAAAGTTGGGACAGGTTCAGGGATTACCCATGAGTACAGGGATTACCCACAAGTATGAATTTAGTTGTCATCCCTAATGCAAATTAAAGCTAAATGAGATGGAATGAGTCATTTTTTACATTTTAAGGTAAAATTAGTTAAACATATTTAATTAATTACTAATTAGTGACTAATTTATAATAAATATTTTTCTTATTAAATATAAAAAATGAGATGACCATAACTTAGATAATCATTTTACCTTTCTTTTATCTATAAAAATTACAATGATATAATTTAAATTTAAAACCCACACACAGAACTTCCAATTGTATTAACACAATAAAAATAATAAACAAATTAAATATGTTAACTTGAAATATAAAAAATTCAAAATTCTAATTAATTTTACCCTATGATATTATTTTAAAGGTTCTCTCTATTAGTTTTAGGTTACATTTATCGGATTCCAATAAAAATAATTCAAAAAGTAATTATAAATGAAATTAATAAAAAATTAAATAATATTACCTAAGTTTCTTAAATAATATAAACTAATAGTATTATTGTAAACTAAAAGAAATATTAATGTTCTCAATGTATCATTGCTTGGTGATAGTCTTTAATTAAAAATAAAAGAGAGAAGAAGATATGAGAATCCGATGTGAAGATCCATTCCTTTATGTGACCATAACGAACTTGTATTTTTCTCTGTGTGTGCAAGTTTCATTTACCATTTGTATCTGTCTGGGGGTAATCTTCTTGTATCTTGAGAGTTGAACAAGAGTTCCAAATCGAGATACAAGGGCAAAGATACTTGTAAAAGACACTCCGATGCTAAAGTTAGGATAAGCACGAATATCGATGATAATAATAAATAAACAGTAACCATACCTCGTTTTGTATGACTATTTATACTAATCGTAATGGGTCCAGGCATGGTGGACCTCATTTCATGATTACCAAATTACGTAATATGGTGATTAATGATGAATTATCCCTTAATCTCGTATTATCTTCATTAATCATGGTTTATTGTAACAAGTCGCTAATGTGATTGTCTCGACCTTCTCGGTCCTCGGCAAGGACAAGAGAACACAGATCGTTTGGTGAAAGTCATCTTTTAGTGATCGAGATGTTTGATATGCTTGAATGTCTCAGCCATGTCGGCGACTAAGGCAGCCGGGCTCTTGCATGGGACAAGACTATGTGTTCGATTGTCTTGGTTGCCGACATGGCCAACATGATCTTAAGAAAGTTATTTGAGAAGACACTACAACGCACGTACGTTCGAATGTCTTGGCTGTGCGTGATCAGGACAGTCTGGCAGAATAGTTAAGTGTCAAAGTAACTAGGTGAGTTGGCACATGGTGTGGCATGCCCTGTGTTGCGACACGTGGTCATCTCATTCCTTCTAGTACATAAACCCCCTAGCCTTAAGGAGTGACGCGACGCAGAGGCTATGAGTTTTAATGGGCTTTTTGGTAACGGTTAAAAGGGATGTATCGTTGGATCAAACAGATGCAACGGATAAAAGGGATGTATCGTTTGGCATTCCCACCCCTCAAGTACTATAAATAGGGGTGTGGGGGACCATTTTGCGCACTTAATGTATCTAGGGCGAATTCGAGAGTTGAGACGAAGAGTTGAGAAAGGTGTCACTGATCGAGATCGAGACTTCCAATCAAGTTGAGCCTTTCCCCCAAGGAGAAGACTAACCTCTACTACCTCTTGCGTTTGCCTCGATGCCTACCGTGACACCGTTGGTTAGGCTTCCCAAGTCATCCAAGATAACTCATGACTTAATTAGTAAACTGCCTTTCCCTTATTTACTCTAAGTTATTTGTGTTATCATTGATTTTGACTTGTTTGGTATAGGTATCATAGTGACCTGTGGGAGTGATGATCTAGACATCCGCAACCTGATAGGCACCCCGAGTTCAGGAGGCCATTGCTGGGGGGTGCTAACTGAGGGTCGACCGGGTGGGAACCATATCCCTTCTCCAATTGACATTGAGCTCTTCCAGATCGACAAGAAGGATAAGGGGAAAGGAAAAAGCTCCAAGGACTCTCGTCAACACCGACCTGAGAAGAGGAAATTTGATGAAGCTAGGGTCGACAGAGTTGCCCATAAAATGAAGCAATAAAGGTTGCCCACACTTGTCGTTCCTCAGACATTATTAGGGTCGAGCTTCCTATCAACCAACGTTAGTGCTCAAGACCACTTTAGCCATGACTTGACTTCAATGAGGGGCAAGCGTTCCTAGGTCAGCTGAACTTTGTGCATAAATGAAGTTATTTTTGTGAGATGCAAGCTCAGTCGTTGGTGCTAGCTTAAAGTATCATCATGGATCCAAACACCGAGGTCAAAAGGCTTTGAAGATAGTTGGCTGAGTCCGAGAAGGCAATGTAGGAGACTTTGGCGGCCCAACAGACATTGACATGCTCGTCGGGGTCTGTCGTGCTATCATATTTGTCTAAGGGGAGGGATTTCCAATGGTCAAGGAGTGGAGCTTGCATGATGGTCGAAGTAAAAGGCTAGCAGTGTGTTCCAACCGAAGCGTCATGGACGGGTCAGCCAACGGTTTGTGCTGTTGATGGAAATTTTCTAGGGCGACAATTGAGACATGAGGGAGAGAAGTGTGGTGTTTGAGTGAGTGAAACGACCCTTGTGTTTGCGTTTGGGTCGGCTCGGGAGGTCTCCAACACGGGTCTTGGTTTCTTAACGCAACATTTTTTTCTCTTAAAGTTACCTTTTCCCTCGCATCTTTCTCTCTCTGTTGTCTCATGGCCGTTATTTCCTCCCTTAACTGGCGTACGACATCTGAGAGATCCGTCTCGTCGACCACTTTGACATGGTCCTCAAATTGGGGGTCTTCAATTATAGTCTTTCTTGTAGTCACCATTGTCTGACATGTCGCTCAATTTATCTTCTTAGAGCTTTCGGTTCGGCCCCACGGTGGGCGTCAAAATGTAATTGTTTGGGGGTACACCAATAATCTTCTTGTATCTTAAGGGCCGAACGAGAGTTCTAAATTGAGACACAATGGGGAGGTTCCTACAAAAGGCACTCCGATGCTCAAGTTAGGATAAGTACGAATATCGATGATAGTAATAAATGAACAGTAACCATATCTCGTTTTGTGTGACTATTTATACTAATCATAATGGACCTAGGCGTGGTGAGCCTCATTCCATGATTACCAAATTAGATAATACGGTGACTAATGACGAATTATCCCTTAACCTTGTATTATCTTCCTTAATCATGATTTATTGTAACAAGTTGCTAATGTCATTGTCTCGACCTTCTCGATCCTCGACAAGGTCGAGACGATGCAAATTGTTTGGTGAAAGTCATCTTTTAGTGATTGAGATGTTCGGTATGCTTGAACATCTCGATCATGTTGGTGACTGAGACAGTCGAGCTCTTACGTGGGACAAGAGTGTGTGTTCGATTGTCTCGATTGCTGACATAACTGAGATGATCTTAATAAAATTATTTGAAAAGACACTAGAATGCATGTACATTTGGATGTCTTGGCTGTCAATGTGACCGAAACGATGTGGCCAATCAGTTAAATGCTAAAGTAACTAGGTGAGTTGGCACTATTAGTCGCAGAAATGTAACGTAAAGAAATATTGAAGGAAAATCTGTATCTTATTCAATGGAATGAAAGTGGCTTATATAAGCCTACATGAAACAGAAATGACACGTACTGACCCACGTACATGAAACGGAAATGACACGTACTAACCCACGTGGTAACAATCCACGCTTCATGATAACAAACCGAAAATAAAGAAAACTGGTTCTAGAAACTAGGACTTTATTCAAAATGCCTTAAACAAAACTTTGACTAATGATTTCAACTGACACTCCCTCCCTTAAGCTAGATACATTTGCAACAGCTAGCTTACTTCAATGACCTTCATTACTCCAAGCATGCTTCAAAGCTTTTCAAATCTCTCAAGCTTTAATGGTTTTGTCATTATATCCGCAACTTGGTTCTCGGAACTACAATACCTTAGTCTCACAACCTCGTCTTTTACTAAATCTCTAAGAAAATGAAATCTTACAGCAATATGTTTGCTTCTGCCATGAAAGACTGGATTCTTGGACAATTAAATGGTAGAATTATTGTCACATAATATCACTGTGCCAGTTGCTTCCTTCTCTTCAACTCCAAGTTGATCTAGAATTCGTCTAATCCAAATACATTGACAAGCATTGGACGCTACAACAATGTATTCTGCCTCAGTGGTAGACAAACTTACAATGGGTTGCTTCTTCGAGGCCCATGACACGGCTCCAGATCCCATCACAAGTACTAAGCCAGAAGTGCTTCTACGATCATCCAAGTCTCCTGCATAGTTGTTGTCAGTATAAGCTATAAGGCTTGTTCTTCTTCCTTCAGTTTTGTAGAAAATTCTGTGCTCTGTAGTTCCTTTCACATATCGTAGAAGCCTTTTTATTGCTGCCCAGTGTGATTCTTTTAGATCGGCCATGAACCTGCTGATCAGACTGACCCCAAACATTAAGTCAGGGTGAGTACTACTTGTCTGAATTTCATAGCGTCTACTCTAGAGCCATCCTCATCCTTTGACAAGTTGGTACCTGGAACAATTGGATTCCTTACTGGATTACAATCTGTCATGTTGAACCGTGCCAGTATTTCTTGAGCATATCTTCGCTGACAAATGAAAATCCCAGCATCACTTTGAATTACTTCTATTCCGAGGAAATGTCTCATCCTTCCCAAGTCAGACATATCAAATTCTAGCATCATTGAACCTTTAAATTGTTCACACATCCTTCTATTATTTCCAATGAAAATCAGATCATCCACATAAAGGCTAACTATTAGAATGTTGCCTTCATTTTTCTTGGTAAACAAAGTGTGTTCACTAGGACACTTTTCAAAATTCTCTTTGGCAAAGTATGTCTCAATTTTTCTGTACCAAGCTCTAAGAGCTTGTTTAAGGCCATATAATGCCTTTTTTTAATATGTAGACTTTATCTTCTTTGCCTTTCTTGACAAAACCTTCAGGCTATTGTACGTACACTTCTTCCTTGAGCTCACCATGAAGAAAGGCACTCTTCACGTCAAGTTCGAACACCTCCCATCTATGTTGAGCTGCTAAAGCTAACAGTACTCGCACAGTGTCAAGTCTTGCTACTGGGGCAAATACTTCGGTGTAATCCACGCCATACTGCTGTGAATACCCTTTTTCCACCAACCGTGCCTTGTGCTTCTCAACATGCCCACGTTCATTGAGCTTGGTTTTAAAAACCCATTTAACTCCAATAGGTGTGACTCCTTTTGGAGCATCAGTTAGTTCCCACGTTTTGTTTCTTTCAATTGCTTGGATCTCCATATTCATTGCTTCTCTCCATTTCATGTTTTGGGATGCTTCCTCGTAGTAGTAAGGGTCACTCCCGTTTTCAGCCATCATCAATGCCATTAGGCTTGCTTCTTCAGCAGAGAAGTGTGTATAATTTGCCATCCAAGCTGGTTTTCTTCTATGCCTTATTGCCCTCCCTTCAACTGGGCAGTCGTGTTCATCGTCATCTGCTAGCGCTCTGATCCTATTTGGTTTGAGCTCTCTTGGGCGACTTGAGGAAGCACCAAGAGTGACGCCATCATTGTTTACTTTTTCATGTTGTGCAGATCCTTGGTCTTCACTTCCAGTTTCAGTTATTTGTTCTTCCTAGTCCAGTGCATCAGTTTTGCATCCTTCTTCAGTTCCTTGCCAATCCCAACTCTTGTGCTCTTCAAAGATTACATCTTGGCTCACAATGACTTTCTTTGTTATGGGATCAAATAATCTGTAAGCTTTAGATTCACCACTCACTCCTAGGAAGACACATCGTTTGCTTTTGTCGTCGAGCTTGCTTCTCTTTTGATCTGGTATGTGAGCATGAGCTATACATCCAAAGACTCGAAAATGATCCACTCTTGGTTTGTCTCCACTCCACGCTTCCTCTGGGGTTTTCTGTTCGATTGCTGAAGTTGGGCTTCGGTTTTGCACGTGTACACACCATCTAATTGCTTAAGGCCAAAAAGCTTTGGGAACTTGTCTATCATTCAGTGTTGCTCGTACTGCATTCATAAGTGTTTTGTTTCTCCGTTCGGCGACTCCATTTTGTTGAGGCGTATAAGCAGTTGTTAATTGTCTAGAGATTCCTTGATCCTTGCAAAAATCTTCAAACTCTGTTGATGTAAATTCACCTCCTTGATCGGTCCTTAGACAAGTGATGCATGCACCAGCTTCCTTTTCAACGCAAGCTTTGAATCTTTTGAACATAGTAAATGCTTCTGATTTCTCTTGCAAAAAATAGATCTAGGTTTTACGAGAAAAATCATCAATGAAGCTTAATATGTACCTCTTGTTGCTGTTTGAGGATGGTGTGATGGGACCACAAATATCAGCATGGATTAGCTGAAGTTTCTTTGAGGCCCTCCACAAGCTTTTACTTGGTATTGACTCTCGTTGCTGCTTGCCAATGAGACAAGTAGCGCAAATTATTTTTAGGAACTTCAGTGGTGGAAGTCCAATGACCATCTCCTTACAAGCCAGTGTGTTTAGCCCTTTGTAGTTAAGGTGGCCAAAACGACAATGCCACAGATGGGTTTCCTGGTCTGAGGTGGTGTGAGCTTGCATACACATGAGATCTTTGGGTGCTGCAGAGGCTGTAACATAAAACATTTTGTTTCCCCTCTTATTGGTGTGCATGATTAAACCTTTCTCTGGATGAAACACTTTGCAGTTGCCATTTTGGATTAAGATGGATAACCCCTTTTCTTGGAGTTGGCCTAAGCTTAGTAAATTGTTCTTAAGCTCAGGGAAAAAGTAAACATCGGATATTACCTGAGTAATGCGATTGATTTGCACACGAACGCTCCCTTTACCTACAGCTGTCATCGTGGTATTATTTCCAAGTTTCATAGTTCTACATAATCCCTTTTCCATTTCTGAAAACCATTCCTTGTTTCCTATCATGTGATTGCTGCAGCTAGAGTCTAGGAACCATACTTCCTCATGTATGGTTTGATGCAACTCTTCGTATGCCACTAGTAAGAGCTCTTCGTCCTCTTCTTCAAGCTCCGCATAATTGGCCTTCTTCTCCCAATCTGGGCACTCATATTGAAAGTGACCCAGCTTGTGACACTTAAAGCACTCAATGATTGTTTTATTAAGTGGCTGTCTGCCTCTTCCTCCTTTGCTGCGTCCCCCTCTGAATGAACCTCTGCCTCCTCTACCCCTAGTAGGTCTATCGTCATTGGTTATCTTCAAGACATGTTCTTATGTTTGGAAACCTTGCATGCGTTGCTCATGCACCAAAAGGCTGCCATGTAGTTCATCAATGCTCAAGATACCCAAATCATTTGACTCCTCTATTGAACATACAACATAGTTGAACTTGGATGTCAAAGATCTGAGTATTTTGGTAACAACCGTACTTTCCTCCATTGCCTCACCATTTGATTTCATTTTGTTGACCACATGGAGAATTCTGCCCATGTAGTTGTCCACCGTCTCCCCTTCTTTCATAGCAAGCAATTCAAACTCTCTTCTCAGTGCCTGAAGTTGTGCTCGTTTCACCTTTGTGGACCCTTGATACTTTCTCTGCATGGAGCTCCATATTGCCTTTGAAGTTCCTTTGTCAATAATAGTTTCAAGAATTTCTTTGTCAATGGCTTGAAATAAGAAATTCTTGACTTTCAAGTCTTTGAGCTTGGCCTCTTCTATACTCTTTCGTTGTGCCTCAGTTGGTGTTGCTCCAAGTGCAGGGGTTGGTATACCTTTTTCTATAAGGTGCCACATTTCTTTACTTCGTAGGAAGTTCTCCATTGTCATTGACCAAAAGTCATAGTGGCCATCGAACTTCGGAATGGCTGGCTGAACAAATTTTTCAGACGCAGACATGGTGAACTTTTGGAATATTTTCTTTTCCTCACTCTCACTCTTGCTCAGTGTTTCTTTCCTCACACTGTACCAGGTCCCTTACGGAGCTCTGATACCAATTGTTAATCGCAGAAATATAACATAAAAAAATATTGAAGGAAAATTTGTATCTTATTCAATGCAATAAAAGTGGTTTATATAAACCTACATGAAACAAAAATGACACGTACTGACCCACGTACATGAAATGAAAATGACACGTACTAACCTACATGGTAACAATTCACACTTCATGATAACAAATTAAAAATAAAGAAAACTAGTTATAGAAATTACTACTTTATTCAAAATGCCTTAAACAAAACTTTGACTAATGATTTCAACTGACGCACATGACATGCCAAGCCTTGTGTCACACGTGGTAGTCTCATTCCTTCGGGAACCCCATTTAATTGTTCTCCCATAACGCGGAGGAGCACGTTTCCTGATTCGTATTCCTATATAATACAATACTAAAAGGGTGTTTGTTGGAGGCGAAGAATGGAGAAGCCGACCAAGAGAGTGTTGTTGACCTCCAACGGCGATGACATCTCGCAAGCCATCGCGTTCCACTTAGCCAAGCAAGGCTGCAGGTGAACCTTCCCGCATCCAATCATCTCTCCTATTCCTTCCTCCGTTCATTTCTGATCATACATCGATTCAGGTTGGTTTTGATGGGAGACCAGAGCTCCCTGCGTACCATCGCGCGCGGAATCGCCGATTCCCTCTCCCTCCCTGACGCTGGCGCCCTGCAAGTCGTTCAACTCGACATGGAAGACCAAACCGAATCGGCTTTCTTTCACTCCATCGATAAGGCGTGTCAGATTTTGGGGAAATTGGACGCTTTTGTCAACTGTTACACTTATGAAGGTAAACTAATACTAATAGTTTTATCACGTGATGTGTGTGTTTGTTGAACTGTGCTTATGCTCCTTCTTACCAGGGAAGATGCAAGAGCACGTTGAGTTAGCTGAGAGTGAGTTCAAGAAAATAGTGAAGATCAATTTTATGGCTCCGTGGTTCTTGTTGAAGGCTGTTGCCCGGAGGATGCGGGATTTCAACACTGGGGGCTCCATCGTCTTTCTCACATCCATAATTGGTTCCGAGAGAGGGCTTTATCCCGGAGCTGCTGCTTATGCCTCTGCCTTGGCGGGAGTGCAGCAGTTAGTTAGGGTAACCTTCTTAGTTTTTGCCTTCAATTGTTTTTTTTAATCTTATATATCAAATATGCAAATGAAGGACCTGATTTGGTTATTGAATTGGAAGATAAGGTAAAACTAAAACCATGTGATTAGAAAGAAACGGATGAGTGAACAAAATGGTGGCAAGAGTCGGATTTAATGTGGCAGAAGTGATATGCACAAAGGATGTTGTGCTTATTTTACTGAATTATTTTGACTAGTTGTCAAAAGCTAAAGTAAAATGTTTTACTTGATCAGTTGACATGATCAAGTCAAATTGGAATGCTTCTGGCTGGTTAACAAATTTATGTGCCTACTGTGGAGGGGCTATAAGGTTATCCTGAATGACAAAAGTGAACACTTACTACTGTTTCTCTGTAGTTGCAATGAACTTTCCTTGTTGCACTTTGACTAAGAGTTAAGTACCTAAGCCCATACTAGTAGTACTCTATGCTAGAAGTTCCTGCTCTTCTGCACTGAACTTCTGATATTTTAGCATTTCAAGTGTTTACTAGGATGGGATCATTCAAGATCTCACATATAAGCCTCTCTGATAGTCTGATATATAATATTCTATTGCCGCATAAAGAACTAACATAGGCTTGCACACAATTCAAGAGCTGCATTTCAAATTTGGAAATGTTAGAAAGTCTGGTTGGTAGTCTTTGATGTTATCCTCTATTCAACCATGAAGCTAGGATATTCCAAAAAATGAAAAAGTATGTGTCACCACTCACCAATACTCACCCCATACTTCTGGATACATATCCAACAAATATCTAATTTTCTTAATCAATATTATGCATGTATTAATTTTTTTCTTTTTATAGATGTTTGTTAACATATTCAGAACATATTGTATCCTTCCTTTCCAAAAATTGCTTTATCCCTGTATCTGCATTGTATTGTATCTGTGTTGTACCAAGTATCCAGGCTTCAAAGACGTAGTATTTAACTTTATCACATTTTAAGTTTATTTGTATCAAATCTATTTGTTTTTCCTTCAGGCTTCGGCTCTGGAGATAGGGAAGTACCAGATCAGAGTTAATGGTATTGCTCGAGGCCTGCACCTGCATGATGAATTCCCACTATCCGTGGGAAGGGAAAGGGCAGAGAAATTGGTGAAGGAGGCAGCACCGCTTGAGAGATGGCTTGATGTTAAGAATGATCTGGCTTCTACAGTCATCTATTTAATCAGTGATGGATCATGCTACATGACTGGAACAACCATATATGTTGATGGGGCACAGTCTATAACCAGGCCTCGGATGCGCTCCTTTATGTGATTTTTCCTCACATGCTGGCACTGAAAGGATTTTTGCAAGGAATGTTTGGTGTGTCATATATAATTTATATAGTGAACGTTAATCTGCGGATTTGTCAACCAAGTTTGTGGAAAGGTGAGTGAATGTCAAAAATCAAATCATTGAATAATATTATGAGTTTAGGATTTGTTTAATCTATAAGTAAGTGTATCTAAACTTATTCCGTTTAATATTTCATGTTTTATACCAAATTTTTACAATTCAACTTTTGAATTTAGAGTTCTTAACTCTGTAAATTTTTTTTTTTAAAATTGAAAATTATTTGATACGTTATTTCATTAATTCAAATTGATGGATAATCATAATTTATTTTATACGTTAATTTGAATTAATGAAATTATCAAATAATTTTTAAAATTTAAAAAAAATTACAAACATAATTTATATATTAAAAATTTTAAATTTAACAATTAAATTATTAAAATTTGATGTAAAATATGAGTTATTGAATAGAATAAGTTTAGATAGACTTATTTTTATAATAAACGAATTCTTCCTAATATTAACTTGGTGAACTAATGATATTGTAAACACTTCATATCATTAATTTAAATATTTGTTTAATTACATAGCAAATATAAGACTGAAATTCTTTAACTTAGATAACACTCTTATCCCTTGTTTGGTGCCATTGAAATAGAGTAGAAAGAAAGAAAGTGAATAAAGGGAAAGTCGGGGGAATGAGAAATGTTATTGTAGTTGGTTGTTTGGTAGAAGGAAATAAGAGTGAAATATTTTAAATATTTTTGGGAGACATTTTTTTTTTCCGCAAGAGAGAAGAACAAAGAAACTAAAGCACGTTGTTCACTTATATATACCATCTATTAATCTAACAAAAACATGCTCACCCTCTAATTTTTTATATTCTCTTTACCAAGCATAATACGTAGCAGGGAAATTTGTCGTAGCATTTCCAAAGGCAAAAAAGGCTTATTGCTGGCAATTTCTTTCCAATCTGGTCTTCAGAGGCAAGAAAAGCTTCCAAATGATTTACAACCAAGAATTGCAAGTTTTTAGGTCTTTTAGTTCTCTCTCAGAACTGTCGACATAATCCTGTCAATTCCTTTCAACGCCGGTCAACACCGGTAATAGCTAAGGATGAAAATAGTTCAAATCATTTAAAAGTGGTCTAGCTTAACTTACATCACAATTGGGTTCGCTTTTTTAAAAAATAGGCTAAACTAAATTTTTATTAAAGTCTAATCGGTTAAAAAAGGTTATATTTTAGATCATTTAAAAAGTCTGACCTTTTTAAATAAAAATTAATAATTATAATTATATTATATTTGTTATAATATATTAAAATTTATTTATTTATTTATATTTATAAATATTAAACATGTTGATTTATATAAAAAGTGAAATTTATAAATTTATACCTTGAATATCTTATTACATAATATGTATTTAAATAAGTTACCAACACAAATTTTATATTAAATCTTAAAAATATGTTTATATCATATAAAGAAGTTAGATTCAATTTTTATAAAACTTATTATATTTATTTTTATTTCTATATTAATAAATTATTACATAATAAACTCTTAAATATGTTTGTAAGTAAGGACAAATTATTGTGTAGAACAAATCAAACTTTTAAAAAAGACTTGTGTGTGTTTATTTTATTAGTAACATACATTCCTAGACAACTATATGAAAAAATATGTGAAGGAAAACTTCCAAATGAACATTTGTCAACGGACACGCTTTGGCACTTCAACAAATCGTATCCACACAAACTGGACACATTTTCATCACAAACACCTACAAAATTAACATGTCTCTATTATGGACATCTACAAAATTATGTCTTTGTCGTAGATACCTGCAAATGAATATGTCTCCATCTCGATGTATTATTCGATATATAGATTTGATATTTTTTTTTTAAAAATAATAAATCTTGATAAAAATTAGATTTGTGTCGTCAAAATTGGATAATTTGGATTGGGCTAATCTATTTAATAGGTCAAACTGGGAATCGATCACTTTAATAGTTTAGAAGAATCACAAAATCAAGATGTGAAAGAATCGATTAAAAATTGAAAAAATTAGTCAAAAACTAGATGAATCAGTCAAAAATCGGTGAAAATCACTCAAGGATTGGTCCAAAAAACCGAATTGAACCAATCCCTTTAATATATATATATATATATATATATATATATTCTAAAACTATTTAAAATGTTTTTTTATGATAAATTAATAAATAAAATATTATATACTTTATATTACATTAATTAGAGAATTTTCTATTCTAAATGTATAATTGTTAATATATGTTTTTATATTTTATTAAAATAAAAATAAAAATATTATATTAAAGCTTTTACATACACTTTAAAAAATAAAAAATATATAAATATGTTTCATTTCAATTTTAATATTAGAAAATTATGATATTATGTTCACATATTATTATTTTATGTATTATTTAAATTATTTTTATTTTTATTAATATTGATTTAATAACGATTAAATCAATAAGTCTTAAATCAGTGTCTTAAATCAATTTGATAACCAATTCAATTTTAAAAATATTGATTTAAATGTATTCCTAGAAATTATTTTATGAAATAATATATATTATTTTTCTAGAAAGTGCTCTTCAAAAAATTACTCACTTAAAAAGTACTTTATAAAAGTTTTCTTTTGAAAAGTATTTTTTAAAAATATATTTTATTCTTTTAGAGAGTACTTTCTAATAGTGTACTTTTTGAAAATATATTTTATAAAATATTTTCAAAAAATATTTTTTGGAATAGCAAACAATTTTTTCAAAAAATATTTTATGGAAGAGTAAAAAAAAGTATTCTAAAAAGTATTTGTTTGGAGCCTGGAGGAGTAGGATTAAATAGCATTTGAAAGACAAAAAAAATGATGGAAAGAGTTAAATTATTAAACAATAAAAACATATTTACTTATTTAGGACACTAATGTAAAATAAAAAATATTTAATATTTGAATAAAAAATATTTAATATTTGAATAAAAAATATTTAATATTTAATATTTAACTAAATTAAGATATATTTTTTAAAATAAAATTATTATTGTATCCAATATTATAAATAAGTTTGGTGGTTAAAACATGATTCATAGTTAAAGAGAACAAGTATAGGATCATTTGTGATAACAACCTTTGATATGTGTGTATTGTATTTATTAAACATTATTAAAATTTAATTTCAAATATATTTAATAAACATAATAAATACTAGGAAAATCTATTTACTTACATATAATAAAATTAAGTACATAACAGTAACATTAATGTTTGTGTTCTATTTTACTTGTCTCTCTCTATATATAATAAAACCCCCAAAAAAATTATTTAATAATAACCAATAGATTAAAAAATAAATAAATAAAATTATGTTTTGCCAATATTTTTCTATCTTTATGCCATCTTTTTTTGGGTTCGTTTATCTTTATGCCATCTGTCAAGGCAGTATACCATTAGCATTCCTGAATTTTCGTTCCTCTAGCTTCTCCAGTGCATATAAGAGTAATGCTTCCAAACGAAGTGAATTTCAAACTCAAAACTACTGCAGTTCCATAAATTGCCAACTCAACAAGAAAGTCATTAAAAATGATGTCTGTCCTCTAGAACCTGTAAGTTGACCGTAGGGGATGTGAAAACTGAAAAGAGTTATTCTTGCCTAAAAAAAAAAATTCAAAGTCAAGTTTTTAATTATTAATGATCTATTTGTAAAAATGTTGAGATTTTTATTTATTTTTCTTAGCATCAAAATATTAGTATGTTGGTTATTTGACCTATAAAAATCTAATTAAGCTAGCTAACCCATGCTGGGTTCTCTCAAAGTTTCCCCTTTTGGGTCAAAGGTTTGAAAAACTAAACCTAGAGAAAGGAAAATAGTGGGTCTCTAAAACGGGATGCATGCATTAATATTCGTTTCAGATACTATACTATATATCATGATTTATGAAGATTAATGTGGTGTAGTGGGTGACAGCTGAAGTAGGAAAAGTAGTCACATTTTTTCGATTGTAACTTTCAAGGTCACCTTATACTGAACTAATACTTCACCGAACAATGATACCTTCTCCTCTAATCTAAGAAAAAAAAAAGGCAAAACTAAACAACAAAAACATCGGAATACTTGATTGTGTAGGCCATGCTCCCCCATTCATCCTAATCCAATGTGTCAAGTTGCGGATTCCATGGATATACTTTAAAACTCAAACAATATGGCAATTGGCAACATCAAAGATGGACCCAACCAACCAATTATATGATATAACCATCAACCCTAGTTATGTAGATGCTTTTTTTGTGGTGGTGCATATTAGAAGGTGTAGTAGTAGCTCAACAAATTAATGCTTTAGAGTTTAGACCTCAAGCTAATGATAATGGAGTAGATGACTATATTTGACATGTATAATTGAGAGTTGAACACTTTTAGGCTTACAATTTCCACCAAAATATCTATGCATTGATCTTGCAAAACAACAAACGGTAGGTGGGCACGGCACCAATTTGAGGACTCGGTGTTTATATTTTGAAGCGTTACGTTTATGGATTATCAATTGGTCTTTATTTGATGCCAGCTAACTATTTTGTAACAGAGCCATTTGTTGTTAGACACATGTTATATGAGGAATGGAAATAGTGCTCTGTTTTCAATTCTTTACGATTATAAACAATAATATACTAAGGTGGTTACACATTACAATCAAATAATCTCATTTGTTAATATATATAATTTGTTTTTCCGTAAGTAGTACCGACATCATGTTAATCATTTGCAATATTTTTAAGTTTCCTTTGAAAACTAGCATGCTAACACCAAGGACATCGCATGTGGTGCAGGCGTTTTGAGAAACGTTATATAGTTTTTAAGAATATTTTCAGTTCTCAGCCTTGTGAATTGAAAAATGAGTTCTGGGCTATAGAAACTTTGTTTAGTATGACTTGCATAATGGTATGAGAAGGAAAGAAAGTGACAAAACAATGATTTAGATTTAGACTTCAATCATGAACACCTTCCTTGAGATTGTTTAATTGTTTTTCACAAAAACGTTATCTGGTCCAAACCAATCTAAGACAACACAAGTTGTGGGAATGAAAGCAATGTTTGAGTGTGAAAAGATGGCGATGCTTACACTACCAATATTCCAATGATAATACCGTGGCATGCCCACCAAATTAAAGCCTTCCTTGGTTAGTTCATTACCAGCTATTCACGTTACACTACTAACTCCAGTCCCCATTAAGCCATTGAACAAAAGAAAAATTATTTCAAAGCTTAAAGAATTTACAAGTTAGACCAATTGTGTGAAAAGTGCAAACTGAAACCATTTTGGATATTTGTTTGATTTTGATGCAAGTGGTGAAAGGTGATAGTGTTGGGGGTTGAAAACAGGGAAACTTTCTTTGTCTGCTATTTCACCGTCTTTGTACATTATTTCCGGAAAGCAGATCCTGACCCCACTTGCAACAAATGCATTATTCAAAGGTTCCATTATTACTTTTGCAAATTACAAAAAAAAAAAATTCAAAAAGAATTAGAGATTTTCTCTAAAAATACACAGGAGTATATTTTTTTTTTGGTTAATTATTACATGGTTGTCGGAAGGAATGACTATTTTATTTTTCTTAAATATGTTTTAATTTAAAATTTTTCAGTAAATTCATTTTATTTTATTTTTAAATTTAAAACTGATTTTTTTTATAGTTATATAGAAAAGTCCATTTTGATTCTTAAGGACCATTTACAATCTTACTTACAAATAATAAAGACAAATTAAGTCAAATGTGCAATATTAATTATGTTTGATGTAACTTATTTATCGATAAGGGTTTTAATAAGAGGATTTTGCATGACATAGTTGGTAATAGGTAAATATCGTGTGACATGTTTACAAATGAATTTTAAATATTAAAATACTTTTTTTCTTAATTTATGAAGACTAAAATAATTAATTTTAGATTTGAGGGAGTAAAAAATAAACTTATTTAAAATTTGAGTCGCTATAAATATATTTAAATCTTTCTTTTTTTTCACATTGTTTATATATAATCAAAATCCGTATGCCAAAAAATATAAACAAAATCAAGTAAAAAAACGAAAGAAATAATAAAATTTAACTAATGCTATAACTACATTAATTAAAAACCTTAATTGCTGTCTTAGTTATAATAATTTATGCACTAAAAATTAATAATAATTATAAAAACCTAAATTATTGTATTAATTATAGTTTCTAAAAGATAAAGATATAATTAAGTTTAAATATATTATATTATATATATATATATATATATAAAAAGATAACTAATTTATTACTAACAAGTTATTGATACAAATAATATTGAATTTGATATTCTTAAACAAGTTCTTGGGTGGTCAATCAAGTTTGCTAATAATAATTAATCATAATTAAAGTAGAGACTTTATATTAATAATACGATTATAAAAAAAAACTAATTCATTAACTAATAAAAATAATTAAACTAATTAATTATAATTAATAATGCCACAAATTTAATTTTTATTTAAAAATACCGATTAAATTAAATTAAATTAATTAAATGATAATTATATTTAATGACACTAATCATAATTTAAAGAATTTTTTTTAAATTATAAGTGTGATTTATATTAATAAATCATGAATATAGTAAAAATCATGTCTTATTAATACAAATTAGTTATTAATTATTAATTTTTAAATACTACATAAATCATGTTTATAAACTTAAAAATAAAATCATGAATGTATCTACTTACATGAAAAAATGAGTCAATATCTCATTAAAAGTCTTTAAAATAAATAAAATATTTATTACAATACTAAATAAATGAATTCAGAGTATAAAAATTAACAAATAACAATTAATGCATTTAAAACCAATCTATTTCTATAGAGAAAATAAAATACGAAAACACTTTTACTCAAAATAATACATTGCTCCCTCTGTTTTTTTTCATAGTCGTTTTATCAGTATTTTGTTTTTTTTTTTATTGTCACTTTTCTAAAATCATTGACTTAGTCTCTCTATTTCTTTTATTGTCATTTAAGGTTATATACAAGAATTAAGAAAATGATTGATATTTTAATTTTTTAAAGTATTTATTATCTATTTTCCTATTATACCCTTTAGGTGGTTGGAGAAGAAATATGTATATTAGAAAATGAATAGACACGTTGTTCAGTAAACATACATTTATTATCAAGGGTAAAAATGAAAAAGAAAATTAATAAGTCATTGATTTTAGAAAAATGACAATGAAAAAAAAATAAAAGGAGTATTAATTTTCTTTTTCATTTTTACTCTTGATTATTAATGTATATTTATTAGACAATGTATCTATTCATTTTTCAATATACATATTTCTTCTCCAACCATCTAAAGAGTATAACATGAAAATAAGTAATAAATACTTTGAAAAACTAAAATATTAATCATTTTCTTAATTCTTGTGCATAACCTTAAATGACAATGAAAAAAAAATGGAGGGAGTATTTTTCTTAGTGGAGTCAAAGACTAATTAATATTAATGCATTATTAAAAATAGAAGAAAATAGCCGTCTGAGTGATAGTATTAATTAATTGGCTTGAAAGGAAAAAGATTATTCTGAAACTGATGCCTGAAGAAAGAGGAGGAGGCATTCTCAAGTTTATAAGTGCTATTGGCTGCAGCAATGTACACATGAAATGAAGTGTCTTTCCAACAGCATTTGCAACAGCCAGACATAACATAACTTTTCTGCTAAGGAAGTTTTCTGTCATTATATTATCAGAACTTTTTTTGTCTCTGTTGCCAGCTCTATTAGCCCAGTTGAGAAAAACCACAAAGATCTTGAATTTGGCTGATTCTGGAAATGGGTTGTCAGAGAAGGCTTCTGGGGCTGTGTCTATGGATGTACTTGGCAAGCTTAAGCTTCATTGGAGTTGGTGCTGTGTATGGAAGAGGAGGAGGAGAAGCTGTGAAAGGGGTTGTTTTGGTTCATGGCAAATCTTCTATTGGAAGGATTGATAATGATTTTATCTGTGCTACTTTGGATTGGTGGCCTCCTCAGAAATGTGACTATGGAAAATGCAGTTGGGGTCATGCTTCTCTGCTCAATCTGGTATACTTCCTTTCCTTTTGTCCTGTGGTTTATGAATCTCTCAAAAAAATAAAAATCTTTCAAATTTGTAAATAAAATTCTCTGAATGATGACGTTTTTTACATCTTCGGAATGATGTTCGAATCTATCTATGATGTCTTGGCTCAGCTAAAAAGTAATTCCTGCAAAAACATTTATGTTTTTTTTTTTTTCAAATTATATTTTCTGACCACGTAATGATGGATTATAGTATATAGTATATACCCCCTGACCAACAATAAAGGTTCTAGTCATGTCATGTCACAAACTTTGAGAATCTGGTACGGTTGTTAAAAGTCAGAGAATTTACATCTTGTATTTTCATCTAATGCAGGACCTCAACAACAAAATTTTGCTAAATGCAGTAAAAGGTAAGAGGGAATTCACATCTGGGTTCTTTTCATTGCTTTTATTGGATGATTCACTGTTTTGAAATTTTATTAATTTTGAATGTTTTGCAGCCTTTTCACCCTTAAAAATTAGATTAGGAGGCACTTTGCAAGACAAGGTCATATATGGAACTGAAGATAATCGGCAACCCTGTACTCCTTTTGTTTGGAATTCTAATGTAATGTTTGGTTTCACTCAAGGGTGCTTACCCATGTATAGGTGGGATGAGCTGAACAGCTTTTTCCAAAAAGCAGGGTAAAATCAGTTTTCCCTTGAGTTGTTACCCATGTGTGTGTTTAGGACAAAATAGATTCATCTTTTTGATATGGCAACTCTGTTTTTGACAAGTTTAACATCAATGATAGGTATATTTCAGGGCTAAGATCATCTTTGGACTAAATGCTCTTGCTGGAAAGTCTATTAAGTCCGGTTTTGCTGTTGGACCTTGGAACTACACCAATGCTGAATCATTAATACGATACACTGTAAGAAAGAAGTACACAATTCATGGTTGGGAACTTGGTAAGTGTATGCTGCCCTCATCACAAATACCAAAGTAGAAAGTGCTACTGACACAATAATACTAGAATTGAAAATGCGGACGTCTTAAAGTGCTAAGGCTCATTTATCACAAGGCATGAGTTAACTTGACAATGACAACCATTTGTCCACAAATATTTTTTTACTAAAAGAAAGAAAAATGACAACTTTACTTCTTTAGAATTAACTCTGCTGTTGTATAAGCCATGATGATTAAATCCATCTTGTTTGAGGACTAATGCGTATGAACTAACAACAGAGAGCTTTTTGATGGGCAGGAAATGAATTGTGTGGAAATGGAATTGGAGCAAGTGTTACTGCTGATCAATATGCTTCTGATGTAGCTGCTTTAAGGAACATAGTTCAAAATGCATATAGAGGGATTTTTCCAAAGCCACTAGTTATTGCACCAGGAGGCTTCTTTGACTCAAATTGGTTCAAGGAATTTGTTAGCAAATCCGGTAATACCGCAGACGTAATCACTCACCACATTTATAACCTTGGGCCAGGTATATTCCGAAAATTTGGATATAAATTTATCATATTTTCGGTTTTCCTGATCTCCATCTATTTGATTATAACTGGAAGCTACCTACAGGTGTTGATGACCACCTAACTGAAAGAATTCTTGATCCTTCCTATCTGGATGGAGAGGCTAACACATTCAGCAGCCTCAGAAGTATACTTCATAGTTCAGCAACCTCAGTAAAATCATGGGTTGGTGAGGCAGGAGGGGCTTACAATAGTGGCCATCATCTTGTGTCTGATGCATTTGTCTATAGCTTCTGGTTAGTGTAGCTCCCCTTGCTTTGTCAATTTGGCAGCTGGCAGGGATTCATTACAAGTGTATTCTCTAACATGATCATATATTACACAGGTATTTGGATCAGCTTGGCATGTCAGCTGTTTATGACACCAGAACCTACTGCAGACAGAGTTTGATAGGAGGAAACTATGGTTTATTGAATACTAGCACTTTCACGCCAAATCCAGACTATTATAGGTACTAAAAATTGAATTTAATAGTTGAACAATGAGCAGCGTAAATAATTAAATTTGGACTGATTTGGTTCAACATTGCTGTGTCATTTCATTACTCATGAGTTGATATGAGATTTTGTGTGTTCCCATGCGTGTTATGTTTGCTTCATTAATTGCTTGCCACTATGTTAAGGAACCTATTTCTAATAGAACAAAGGGTTTTTTTTTTAAGGGGGGTCCCATATGAAGTTAGATTCATAATGGTATTTTATAACATTTTTTACGGTTATGTACTTTCTTACTTACAGTGCACTTCTTTGGCACCGACTCATGGGAGGACGTGTCCTGTCAACCAACTTTTATGGGACAAAGAAGATAAGAAGTTATGCACACTGTGCAAAGGAATCCGTAAGTGAAATGCAGTATCTGTATATGGTAGATGTATTAACAATTCTATTGCTCAATTTTGTGAAATCTGATATGATACTTTCTTGCAGAAAGGAATCACAATACTATTGCTCAATTTGGACAACAGCACCACTGTTCAAGTCAGTGTGTACTTAAAATTTAACATGCTACCATACCATAGAGAGGGTGAACCAGCCAGAAGAGAGTACCATTTAACAGCACCAGACAGGAATTTACATAGCCAAACAATGTTGCTAAATGGAAAAATTTTAACTGTAAACTCAGCTGGTGAAATTCCTCCTTTGGAGCCTCTATATGTAGACTCATCAAAGCCAATAATAGTTGGTCCTCTATCTATTGTATTTGCTCATATACCAAATGTTCTTCTTAAGGCCTGCAGCTAATTCAATGGCATTATTAGGTGAAACCGAAAATTGGTTTCACTTAGTGGTTGATACAACAAGAGATAGAATACATGAAAAATTCTGTTTTACAGTTATTGGTGGTAGTTGGCTAGTTGCTCTTCTCTTTCCCCTAAGGGGGGCCTATAGGATTTTAATTAGTTTTATTCGGATGACATTTAAATTTTATAAATTGAAAGTGACATTTAATTTCTTGTCACTTGTGGATGAGACATTTTTCTCCTTTTCATTTAATGCTTGAACTTTTATTGCTTAATAAAACCTTACTCTACCAACTACTTATAGAATTAAAAAAGATAACTTTAATTAAAAATATTTCTTGAAAAAAAAAATTAATGTGAAAGACATTTAAAATTATTTCTTATAGAAAAGATCAAATAACACGTTTGAATCTTATAGAAAAAAAAATAATGAAGTAACTCTTAATTAGGAGTGTTTGCAACATACTCGCAAATATACTCTTAATAGGATTTAAAAAAAAATAATAGTTGTTAATAAACTTAAGTTAATGATAATAAAATATATTAAAAAAAGTATTAAATATTATATCGCTAACATTTTACTGTCGTAACGACAATACATAACAAAATCACAAACAAATGAGAGCCAAAGAAATCTCGATGTGGTGGCACGTGCTCGTCATCAATGAGCAGTTGACCTCAACTACAGCAACAAAAAAAATGGCGTAAAATGAAATAATTATAATATTTAAATAAATAAATAAAACTATTGCATGAGTTGTTTGGTATGAGATTTGAATAGCTTTAAGATGTTAAGATTATTCAAACGGTCACGAATGTGGTCATTTTATGATCGAAAACTTGCAACAGAAGGATTAGAGCTCCAAAAGTTGGTAAGAAACTGATTCTTGACTTGAAAGGATTTAAACACGTCAATACATTTTTTGGTGACCAACCACCATGCTATCATCTATTAAAAATATACAATTGCTATTTGCTACAATAGGCTACAGTTAAAAAACAAGAATACATACAACAATGTACCTATACTATCATTTCTTTGTACTTAAATTATCTGATTTGTATAACAAGCGGATGTAACCCCGTGTCAAAAATCTGCTTCGCATGAATCAGTTTTGCTCAGAAAAACTTTGAGGCTTACTACTCGCGAACACCAACCATACGATGGTGCCAGTCACGTAGAAGAAGATTGATGGTGCAAATAGTGATATCTACATGGTATACAGATGAAATATAAATCAAACTCACAGAATGATATACATCAAACAATGAGAAAACAACTAACATTAACAACAACTTACACTCCATGAATGAGTTGAATCAAGAAGATAGCCAGTGAGGGCTACACCAACAATGCCAGGAATAGCCCCAACAGTATTAGTTATACCCTGAGAGAGAACATAATAAAAATGAAAGTCGGATACTATTGAAATCAAATATACATTTCACTTACAAAAATTAAGCACATTGATTAATAGCGGATCATGAACAATTTGAATACGTTTAGCTTGAATGATTTACAGTTTTTGCTTTTTAGACCACCAAGATGTTGTCAAAGTATGATGAGAACACAAACTAAACCAAACTCAAACCCCTCCGACATGCAATGCCCTGTCCTATAGACTTACCCACACCTGCAGACTCCCATGCACTTAGACTAAGAATGTATATCTAGCAAGTTCTTAACTCATAAAAGAGAGAAAGCAAAGAAGACAGAGCAATGCTCAGCGACTCCTTTTGGTGTTAGGAAACAGACTTGTGACTACAATTAATCACAAAAATTAAAAATAATTAATTTTAAAACGTTTGATGATTTAAAAAGTAATTAAAACTACCATAGTTGGATTATTATCTCATTAAAACCGAAATTAATTGAGCTTTAAAACCAGTAATTAAAAAAATAATGTTTTAAGAAATAATTTGAAATCAAATTTTAAAAAAATAATCTCATAATTAAATTAACCTTTTGAAATATCACAAAATATACAGAAATTAAAAATAATTAATGTTAAAACGTTTGATAATTTAAAAAGTAATTAAAACTACCACGGTTGGATTATTATCTCATTAAAACCGAAATTAATTGAGCTATAAAATCAGTAATTAAGAAAATAATAGTTTTAGGAAATAATTTGAAATCAAATTTTTAAAAAAATATGTAATCTCATAATCAAATTAACATATCACAAAATATACAAAGATCGCCACATATTTTAAAATTTAAAAATAAATTTTGGTACACAAACTTAGTACAGAAAGCTATTGAACTAAACCTAGATCAATAAAACATAACATATTTAGTGTAGCAAGCCATAGGACCCAAAACACTTTGCACGTGTTAGTGGTCAGCCAATCACAATAACACAATTCTTGTGGTTATCGCTGTTGTACTACTAGGTCATGCATGTACTTGGTATTTATAAGTGCTCTTGAGATCTCACTAAAATCTCATACAAGTGATCCCACTTACACTTATATAGATGATTTCATTAAGTAGCACAAATCATACACCACCCAAGTGGGAAATTGTTGAAATTTTATATTCCAATAATTAATGTGGATATTATTAAACAATTAAATTAGTTATTTATCATTAGTAATGTGGTCAAATTAAGTGAACACGTTAAACTATTAATAAGATAATATGGGATTAAATGAATAAATGTCTATTAGCCCATTAGGGGGATAATGAGAACATTTAACATACTATATAAGAAGGATAAAATTTCTAAAATCACAAAGAACTAACACGCCCATATCCCATCAGCTCAAGAGGGGCTAAGGTCCAGTTAGAGAACTCAAAAGTCGATTGAGGAAAAATCATAAAGCCACAACCAACGGCCATAAGGATTCCACAACAGTGGTTGAATAATGCTTAAATTAGGAACTGAAAATGGACAGGCATATCATATCCTTAGTATTCAAACATGTAGATCCTAAGGCTTTGATATGTTTTATTTTTTGGCTTCCACATAAATAATTAAGAATATGAAAATAAGGATTAAAATTTTCAACAGAAATAACATTAGCCAGCCACGGATTTTGTTCCTTAGGATATTTTGCCAAAACACCTCACAACCTTCTACCGAATGATATAATAATAGAAGTGCAAGCACACATACCAGAAGTATACTTGCATATTCTGGTGACATGTCTTGATGGGTGCAATAGAGTCCTGAATAAGCAGATAAATACAGTCAGGACAAAGAAAATATATATGAATCAGATAAGATATATTTACAGGATCAACTAATACCTGATAAGGCAAAGCTTGAGAGCGCTAAACCACCTGTGAGAATCCCCACAATCTCCCAAGGCGGTAACCCTAGATCCAGTGAGGAAAGAGTCATGCAGATTGCAGGGGACAAAAATGCAATTGATTGGCAGATCTTTCGAACCTATATATATTTTTTAAAGAAAATCAGGCAGCCAAGAAATTAAGAATAAAATCAAGACAGGTATGTTCAAATAATTTGTCAGTTGTCATTGAGATGTCTGCATTGGGTCTATGGCCACAACAACTATCGTCTCTACATCCAGCAAGATGTAGTTAGTAGTTTTATCTTTACCCAAACAAGTATTGTGTCTACAGCCAATTTGGATGCAAAATTTTGCATCAGAGATGGACTCATGGCTACAGAACATGAAATTCCATTTCTTTACAAAATATGATGTCAACTTTATCATAAGGAAATACATTTGATATCATAAGTAGTAATTATTAATAAAGCAGAAAATTTCAACAAAAAAAAAATGATGCTTCAATGCCTCTCATACCACAGTGGTTTCAACTCCTCTTGAAATCAAGTTGTCAGCTAATTGTGCTGCAAGACTAGTCACAAATATTGAAGCCAGTGGGGGAAGAATAGACACCTGCAATGATTAAGAATCCCCAATGGTTAGAATTTTTGTATGTATGTGAGTAGGCCAGTTTCCCCTCAAAAGAATACTTTTAAGTTTTAAGCAATATTTTGTGAATTCTATGTTAGAATATATTTATTCCAGCTTCAATAGATGGTGGGTAGGTAATAAATATCTTTTCAAAAATAGAGCTTTTCCAATGAACTGCTCATATATCAAAATGCAAGTCCAGTAAAAAAATCCTATGTTTCTTTCATCTAAATTTGAAAAGTAATGTCATATCATACCATAGTAATGTCAAGCTATTTCTTTAATAAAATCATTTGAATACATGTCCAACCAATTGCACAAAGGCTAAGATAAGCCGAATTTATGATTTATATGTGAATTTCATTTGATCTACTATGAATGAAATGAGCTTAAGACCATATAATAACACTTATTTACAACAACTACTCAAACGTGTGGCTCGCTGCACACCCATTTTAATCTACTATCAAAACAATTACTTTTGAGATTTATTTATCTAAAACAGCTTATTGCAGATCCTATATCTGTTAATGTCAAACATAAAGAATGAAAATAGCTACTTTTCCCTCTTCAATACAAGAATAGACCAGGTTAGCTAAAAGAAGAAAGAAAAATAACTGTCTTACCCATGCAGCCTCCGTCAGATTTAGATTCAGCTCCTCACTACATAGCATATAGATGGACAAATTAGATTCTCCAATGGGTCAAAACTGTAAAAAATACTAGAAATAAATTTTCTGTACAATTTTTAAACAAAAACTTTAAGAACTGACTATCATGTAAATCACAAAATTGTCTAATTCCTCACAAGAATTTTTCATAGATAACGGGGCTTAATAGTAATAGGTGGCCAAGACAAATGGCTGTCAGTGACCATCATTATGCATCATTGTTCAGGTGGTTGCAACTACAAGGAAGTTTGGATTTGATGCATAACAAGTTGAAACCATTAGCAAAGCACAATAAAATTCTTAATTCAATTTCTTTTGCCAGGGAAAATTCTGTAGAACTTTATAACTTCAAAATTTCCATAAAACGACGGGAGCACCTCAAGTGAGAGAACTAAAGGATTTATTATTTTTTATGAACATGATCCAATTGTTAAACCTTATGCATATAAATTATTTACAAAAACTTTCTTTCCAAAATTAATCAATATTAAATATATATATATAAAAAAAAGTCAAGGTGTAGGATCAGCACACAGATATGTGGCATCATCTAAAAGTATAAGCAACAGGGTTCAACAGTAAGATCAAATTTTATATTGAAATTTCATCACAATGTAAAAATCTAAAATGTAATAAAAGTAAGTTTGGTTCTAACATATTACATATGTGCATATAACTTGTGTAAATAAAAGGTGAATCCTGCTTCTTTATAGCATATTTATGATATGATAATTTAATTAAATGTGTACCTAAAATAAGTCACGAATAAGTAAATTTTTAAATGAAAAATCAAATTATTAGTGTGAAAAGTCTCAACTGACTCCCTGATAGCTTGGTTGCAGCAAAATATAACAAAAAGTAGAAACAGGTAAAGCATTAAATGCTCACATGGTACCTAAAAAATGTGGGAAGCCATGATAAACAGTTATAGTGACCCCAACTACCACAGAAATGAGCATATATCATTGCCCACACAGCACGATTTTGGAAAAAGGCCTTCCATGGTACATCCTGTATTTTAAGAACAAGACATGAAACAAAGTTCCATTGCAGATATTGTAAGTATTCACTCAATCTAAACCAGTATACATCTTACACACAGACACAGGCAAAAAGGGTTATGCTATTTCTGAAGTTAAAAAATGAGATACTTTTAAAAGGAAGAGTAAAAGTAGATACTGTTAGGGAGGGGAACATCATGACAAATGGAATGATAACTAGCATTTGGACTCTTCAGAATACTTGGAAACTGGAATTGCCTGAGAAAATTCCTCTCATGCCCTATTTATATATATATTTAAATCTGATTACAATGAAAATCCCTAACAAAAGGATATCATCTATTATAAATTTATAACTAACATCAAATAGTTATCAGTAAAAAAATAAAAATATTAGAATATCTAGGGTCATTAAACAGAACTGACAAGTCATTCATACAGCCCTTCAAATTTTGACACAAGAATGAACTCCAAAACTGCCATAATTTTTTACTCATACCTTCAGAGAGCCATTCAATTCTCCCAGAGAAGTTTTCCATGACTGTGTCATGGTATCTTGGGAAGCTGTAAGACAATCAAAGTCAAAAGTGAAAAAAAAAAACCCATTTAACCATAAGGCTCAAAATAAGTAAACAAACGAATGAAAACATTGAACAGAACAGCAAAGACAACTTATATACAAACATGCAAGCTGCCTTCAATGCATAACACATGAAAAACAGAATAGTAAAAGATATTATCTTCATTTATACTTTATCAATTCTTAAATAAAAGTACAGATTAAGGAATGGACTACATATATGCTGTTAGGAACCACGAGACTCTGAAATTGAACACCAATTATAGAAGAGAGAACACTGAGTAAATGGGGTTATGGGATAAGGTTATACATAAGAGGATAGAAGACTGGTTGGTTATAACAAATAGTAGTTATTCGCTATACACATATATGAGTAATGTGTATTAGATTAGGTCTCAGTTAGTGGTTAGAACTTAGAAGTACTTGGAGTGTGGAATTCCAAATAAAACCTTAGGGTGTTCTTTGATTCTTTCTTTCTCTCTCTCTCTCATGAACTAACATGTTCAGGAGATCTTTAGAGACATGTCAGAGTACCAAATTAGCATTAATTGATTAAACACCGTTAGTTCATGAGATTGTAAGCAATAGAGAATTTTCTAAACTCCCATGTAGTTCTCAACTTTGAAAAACATTCACTTTAGTCCTTAATTCCGATGAATAATAATGTAGATAAGGTCTAAAGTGAATGACTTTGTTCAACAAAGTCATAGATTACATGAGGGCTTAGAAAAATCAGGGACTAAGGTAACCTACACTTAAAGTTCAAAACTAATTTGGGGGTTACTCAACATTATTTATTGAAAGATGCATAACCACATAAACATACACAAGGAATAACTTGCAATTATGTAGGTGACTCACATCCAATACCAGAGCTAACATTGAAGAACTATTAAATGATTATCATTGAATTTGACTCCTCTAAAGTCAGCTCTTGCTCTGGAAGGAAAAGTAAGAAAGTTGACTTCTCCTTATGGTTGAGACTTGAGATGCCTCACTTTACTCTCTTAAGTGAATTGCTCAATCTAGAGGAGCCAAATTCAGAATGATTAGCAATGACAGATGCAACAGAAAACCAGGCTAAAAGCCGATGCAATGACTATCACTTTGCAGCAGTGTTGATGGAGATGAAAGCAAAAATGACAACTCTACTGAGACCAAACCAGGTTAAGCAGGCAGGTAAGAATGAGCTCAAAAGCATTTTTTTCAAAAGATAAAAAAAAAAAAAACACGTTTCCAACGGATTGGAAGATAAAGTTGACTTTAACTTGACAAATATCAATTCCAGAAGCTCGTCAAGCCTAATAGATTGTAAAACTTTTTCGACTAGAAAGGCATCATTTATCATCTTTCATTTAATAACAAAATACTTTTTAGCACAAGTTACAAAAGCACAAAAATTAAAATAGATCAAGATCTCACATGAAAGAGATTCTGCATTTGATTCTGTTTCACCTCCTTCAAGAACTTGAAACCCCAAAAACCTTCGAAATTCATAGCAATAACACACGTCATAATTTTAACCAAACAACCATATTTACAGCTCAAAACGGAGGAAGTTGACTATTTTAAACTATTAGGCAAATGGAAAATAGATTAGTCATTTCTACTTACCAAGCAATCCCCAAAAGACCAAATATATAGAATACTGATTCCCAACCAAGATTTTGGATAAGGGGAGGAGCCAAAAGAAGCCTGACAGATATTACAGTGTTAAATTGAAGGTAGACAACAAAAAGTAAAAAAATAAATAAATTACAATCCTGCGTCACTCTTGTTCTTATTCATATCTGACTACGTGCTAGAAAATACATACCCCATAACACTTCCAACGCTCAAACCACCAAACACAAATGCAACTGCCCGTGAGCGCTCTTCCAATGGTATTGACCTGCACATGGTAATGAACCTTACCAATCAAAATTGGTGAAAAGCTAAAAAATATTATAACTGCCTGAAATATAGTATTTTCCAAAATAGTAGGATGATGCAGGAACCAACTATTTTACTAAGAGGTTGAACTTTACCAAAATATGAATTTTCCCCATGCACAATCACAATTAGCATAAAGACTTATTTTTCATAATTAATATCCCTGTAAGGAGAAAACATTTTTCTCACCTAGGAACTAACCCTACACTCCTCAAGCAGGATGTTTTATCAATTTAAGGAGGGAGCTGGGTTTGGTGAGTGAAATGATTAAAAAAACTTTTTGTCCAGCTCCAAACAGGCTTTGGATTCTTATCTTCCAACAAAATATTATTCACAATTCCAGCAAAATTTCTTTATGGGAAGAAACTAAAGATGATAAATTATTATGGTTAAAAGGAAAATAATATAAAAATTCACATGCTGACTAGAAGAGTAAGCAGAAAACAATGTGATCAAAAAACTGTTATGGCACCGTTATAAAGGAGAAAGCAGAAGCAATTCGCCATTTTTTTTTAATGTTTTATGGCAGTGTCTGCCAAACCCTTCATAGCACCCACCATGGTGCCATCATGGCATATTGTTATTGTTTTAAAAAGCCCATTTAAGGATTTTTTCTTAGACAGCCCCCAAATATAACTTACACTTTTCTCTCTCACTCTCTTGATTCTTGTTATTGTTCACAAAGAAACCTAGGGTTTCCCTTCTTCTTTCTCTGCCTAACCTTCATACTTGTGGCCAATCAACGATGACCCCTCTTAAACGGCCTGAACTCCCTTTTTTGCATTTGTTATTCCTTCCATTTCTTTCTTCTTTTTTTATATGTTCTCTATCTGTTCTATACATTCTTCAGATGTTCCTTGCCTTTTATCTCTGTTAATTGCTTTGTCACTTTTCACTGTGTAGCTCTAACTGTTATAGTTCATCATCTCTCCAATGTTCAATGCCTAGTTCCCTGTTTTTATAATTTCAAAATGGTGATCAATGTTCTTTTGAGATTTTAGTCTATGATTCTGCTGTTTTTTGTATTCATGGTGTTTCTAATTTATTTTTGCTATTTTTTAGTTTTTGTACACATGTATATTTTTTTTTTGTCTGCCATGGTGTCCACCATAGGCCGCCATAAGTTTATGACAGATTTTCCGCTCCATTGACCACTATCTGTCATGGATATCCTTGGCAGGAGATAAGTAAAAATCAAGTCATAAGAAAATACAAATCAACAAAAAATCAATTTGAACCCTATTTAGATGTTTACATGCCTGGCAATGAGATCAGTAGCAGCAGATGGTGAAACACCTTCGCCTATCCCAACCTATATATGCAATGGAAGGGAAGAGGTTAGTGCTGTTGAAAATGAATAACAAATGTAAACCATAGTGCATGTTAAATAGCAATACATGTACAAAAAATAAACACTAAACAGACACAATAACTGTAGTAAGTCTAGTAGATAGAAAATCCCATGGGATGATAAGAACAACAAAACATTAACATTTTGTGAGACCAAACAAGGAATCATGCATGTAATTACACATTAAATCTGCAAAGAAAGTATGCATTTGGGGACAGGGGGGTGAAGGAAATTACTGACCAAAACCCTTGACAATAGTAAGCCAGGCATATATCCAACAAGAAAAGGAACAAGTGCTGTAGCCACCGACCATATCAATACTCCAACCTCAAGAACAGCTCTGAAACAGAAAGATCACAATGTAACATCATGAGCCCAGAAACTAAACTGAAATATTACTGCCAAGTGCCAACTCTGAATGAGATAATTGTCCAATTACAATCCCTTTCTTTTGGACTTGAACATGAGTTACTCAGTTGACTCACATTTAATAAAAGGAAAAGGAAGTTATAGATGGACACATTTGCCAATAATAGATAAAAGAATGTTTACATTTTGGACATCACTTTTACAATTATTATTACAAAAAAGTCAACAAGTTTTATTTATATGAAATGGAAAACAGTATATCAGCTCTGAGAAACTGCGTATACCAAGTATATGAACAAAAAAAATATATACATACTACACTAGGTAATGTTTGTAAGTATGCCCCATCCCTCCTTAAAAGTCTAGTGACACAAACACAAAAGCACATAAAACCTTTTGTTGCAAGTGGTAACTAACCCGCCACCAAATATTTTGGCTAGCCAACCCCCTGGCAATTGACTCAACGCATAGCCCCAGAAGAAGGAGGACTGAACCAATCCTGCCGTTGATGAGTTCCACCCAAATTGATGAGACATTGGGATTATGGCAATACTCAAGTTCACCTGCACCCCATTAAATCAAATCAAACCTCAAGCATAATTAATAATGCAACTCATTAATTTTACTCTAAAAGATGCTTTCTTATCATCAAAGCCGTTACTGTGGACGGGCCCCTCCAGCAACCAATTTCCGCACTTTTGATCATTAAAATTAAAAGGCAAGCGTTTTCATTTGAATGAAACTTTTTTCTTGCTTGAATACAATTGTGGTCAAGAAGCAATTTTAGCTTGTGGGTTGCAACAAAGAAACGCAAGAAGCAAGCAAGAACCTTATCCATGTTACAAATAATGAAGGCGAGTGAAGTGGTGCCGATGATCTTGTATCTTTGGGGAAGATTCTTCCAAGGCGGCCAGTTCCCAGACAAGTTCTCATGTTGCTTCTCCACTTCAAGGTCCGTGAGAGCCTTGGCCTTGGCCTTGGCCTTGGACACAGCGTGGGTTTCTTTGACATTTTGTTGAGAAGCGTTAGAAGCTACTCTGAGCCTGAGGGTGAGGTTGGAAGGTGAGAGGTGGAAGTGAAAAGGTTGAAACGAGGTCGTTCTGATAAAAGGGGTGCGTGAGAAGAAGCAGGAATTGTCTGGTCTCAGTGTGTGCCTAGCCATGCTGAGTTTAATGTTCGAGTTGCAGGAAGAGAGAGGAAAAAAGGAACCAAAAAATAATGTTTGGGTGCGTTAGGGAGTGCCATTACCATAACATAACATAACAACATAACATGAGGCGTATGATGCTATACGAGGTGGCCACGGAAGTGTCATTGCTTGTGGCTCTAATCGAATTGAAGATTTGGAAAATTGGAATGCACAACGCATAACATAATCTATGTTTTTTTTTTTCTTTCGGTTTAAGAGCGTAATATGTGTCATTTTTTTGGCCAGGATATGTTAACGTGTTATACAGGCTGAACCGGACCATATATATTCAAGCCAACACAAATTGGGCCAAACATGCCGTGAGGTTTTGTTGGGCCAACCGTTTGTTTGGCCCATCATGATATTCACATCCTTTTTCTTTTATCATCTCACTTCCACTTAAAATATAAAATTTTGAAAGCTTAGTTACAACAGTGCAATTAAACCAAATATCTAACTCACACATTAACTAAATGGAAAATAGGGATTAACTGTTAAGTTATATTACTTCTGATCCTTATTATAAAAAACATATATACTACACTACAACTTGTTTCTTATTAACATGATCCAAGGAAATATTTTTTATTATAATAATTGAGAATCATCACTTCAAATTATACAATTATAAGACATACCAAAAAAATTTTGATTTTTGAGTCATAATTTTGTATCAAATTGTCTACATAAAATTAATTTTGACCATAATTTTTTTTTTTTGCAATAGATAATATAAAATGAGGTTTTAATGTGCCACATTAAATTTTATAAATTAAAATTATTAATTTAATGATATAATGAATTAAAGAATAATAGACATTTAACTTTTTTTTACAGGAAAATATATTTAACTTGATAACTAATTAAGTCGGACTTTATCATGATGTTATCTCAATCTTATATTTTTATTATTGTTCTTAATTTTTTCGTAGCCCACCTAATATTTGGATCGAAATTGGTATTTACGTGTGGGTTTGAGTTGTGTATCAAACTCATTATCCAAACACATCAAAATAGTTTTATTTGAGTTATAATTATGTTTTTTTTTTCTATCAAATTTAAATTGACTAACCTAGCTAGTTAATAATAGGTGAGGTTAAGTCTACAAGTGCAAAAAATTAAAAATCATTTTAAAACATTATATATTTTACTTATCATGTTCAAATGACATTTTAATTCGATTTTTGAATAGTTTTATTTTATATGTATTTGGATTTATTTTTGAATAATTATATTATACATGATTTTTTTTTCTCAAGTCAATTTTTTTTTAAAAATATGACAATATGTATTTTGATATTTATTCATGTCTCGTATATGTCCATTTTTTTAATAGAGGTTGTCTATTGTAATTATAGTAAATGAGGAGAATTTAAATGATATTTATGTAATTTTTGTTAATTTTTATATCATTCAATAATTTTTAAATGAATAAAATATTTTAAAGTTTATTATTAGATCGAAGGTTTCTTTCCCCTAAATTATATATACAAAATTTTATATTAATTCAAGATAATTTGATATTTCATTTCTATAAAATAAAATTAACAAATATATAAATTTCAAAATATATAAAATATAAATACTTTTATTATCTTTGAATTGTTATTCAATTTAACAAAATTTCATATAAACATACAAAATAATATGAAGTTATAATTCAACTATTAAATTAATAAAATTCACATTTAAATGATATTGGTGTAATTTTTATTAATTATTACACTATTCAGAATATAAAATTTTGTATATATAAAAAACCTTTAATCTAACAGAAAAGTAAATATTTAACTAAAATTATTAAATAGTATAATAATTGATAAAAGTTATATCCATATCATTTAAATTCTTCTCTAACTAAACAATTTAAAATAAGTTGATTTGTTTAAACTTTTTTCTCATCTATTCTTTTTGAATAAATAATTTTTTTCTTTTTTTGGAAAAAAAGTAATTCTTACATATTTCTTAAATATTATTTTTTAAAAACACTTATTTAAAGACACTTTTATTTAAAGTTTTAAGTTTTATTATTACGGTAGCAAATCCAACAACATAACTAATATTTACTAGATCATGACATAACAAAATAATAAATAAAAAAATTATACTGGACCAGTTTTAAGCTTTTACATGATCTATGAAGAAAAAACAATGAAAGTCTATATACTAATATTTTCGAGTTTCAAGAAGAAATCAGTATTTTAATCTATGTATTATACAGGCATATAATAAGTATATAACATAAAAATTAAATTAGATAAAAGGAATAAAAATTTATAGAAATCGAATCTTCGCACGCGTTCCAATGTCTGTTTTTCCAACTTTCGATGTCTGCACATTCTGCTACCTTCACGTGACCGTTAATTTAGCAAAATGAAGATAGTTTAAGATTTGAAAATGATGGAACTCGAACTAAACCGTCTAGGATAATGTGTTCTGAATTTACTACTAAACTAAAAGTATTTTTGTATAATATTATTACAATTAATGTTAAAAATAAATGTTGGTTAATCAAAATTAAATTAAACTTTAACATATTATTTAACACATTAACAATTAATAAATATAGTATATTGTTATAAGTCATTATTATAATTTATATAATATATTAATTCATATAATTTAACCAATCTATAAATTAACTGTTTTATTATTATATTAATTAAATATTTTTAAAATTTATTTAAATATAATATTAATTTTATTAAAATTTATAAATATAAAATATATATAATATAAATACTTTAAAAAAATTAATAAAAACTGATCATCCAATTCAATTAATAACTCTTTAACTTGTAATCCGCTTGCTATGTAACGTAATCAGTTTAATTTTCAAAACATTGGATTACACACTTCATTTTTTTTTAATTAGTATCGTGTAGTGCCCTCTTACATAAGCAAAAACCGAAAGCATGTTCGAAAGATAAACGAGGAAGAATAAAAAATTCAACTTAACACTACAAAATTATTGGTTCGTTCGTCAGCAATCCAAGGACAGAAAGTAATGGCCGGCAATCTACTCGTTTCGGAGGAGAAATCAGTGCCCAAAAGCGTCAAAGAAATGTCCAAGGATGGTGATGAACCACCATCACACTATATAGTTAATGGAAATAGCTTTGGATCTGAAACTTCTTCTGCACAGATTCCAATACCCATCATTGATGTAAGTCTCCTTTCATCAGAAGAAGAACTGGAGAAGCTGAGATCTGCTCTAAGTACAACTGGATGCTTCCAGGTGTGGATTTCTATAACATTTTTTTTTTTTACGATTTAACATAAGCTTAGTTGACTGCTATTTATATGGCTCGAAACACCGTAGGTCATATGTTGCATAAATGGACTTTCAAGTGTGAATAAGTAAACATGGTAAGCATATGTTGCATATTAATAACTAAAAAGTGTTTTATACGATGCACTGAGGATATATAGAAGGGCCACTTCCACTTGATCTCAGATTAATTTTGCATTTATATTCCTAGTGGATAGTAAATATCAAACTTTGACTGCTTTTTGATTTACTCTTCTTTGAACTAAAGATCCTTTTATGTAGATAAGTATACAAATCCATCTTCGAAATGCTGCTGATTCTTGAATCTTAATAATGTGATTTGAGAATCTGATAAGTTGGAGATGAAAAGGTGATGTAAGTGCTAGGGCCTAGGGATATTAATGCTTTTAACTGCCTTGGTTTGACATGCTATTATGAACAGGCAATTGGTCATGGAATGTCAGGTTCATATCTTGACAAAATACGTCAACTTTCAAAACAATTTTTTGAACTCCCGGAGGAGGAAAAGCAGAAGTATGCCCGAGCTGTTAATGAATCTGAAGGGTATGGGAATGACAGAGTTGTTTCAGACAAACAGGTCCTTGACTGGTCCTATCGCCTAACACTTCGACTTTTTCCAGAAACAAAACGAAGGCTTTCTCTTTGGCCAAAAATTCCTACTGATTTTAGGTAATGCACCGCCCCTTTCTAATGGTGAACTTAAATGTGTGTTAACTCTTTGCCCCTGCTTCCCTTGTAACTTTCAAGGTCCAGAAACATAGAAGAAAAACATTGGACATGCTCCTTTACTAGCATAATCATCTTTTCTAAATTTTGAAATCATTGCAGCATGGTACTACTGACAATGCGTATTCAAGTCCAATTTCCAATTTCCAATTTCATGAGTTGCTTGTGAAACGAATCTGCAAATATATGCTTACCATGTTTACCTATTCACATGTACTTCAACCAGTCCTGGCATGTTCTAAAAATAGTGATTCGTATTAAATTATGTTGAATATGAAACGCATAGTTCAATTTGTCTCACATGTATGTATGATCATATCCAATATTTATCCAATACTTATAACCTTGGTTATTTCACTAATATGTATGGAGTATGAAAGCCATTTAAAATCTTATATGATCTCTAAATCAGACTTATAAACATGTTTAATATAGAAATGATGTTTTTTGGATAAACTAAAAATGGAAGTTGTCCTGTGTGTGAATGATTTTAAGAAAGAAACAAGAATGATAATATTATTTATATTCCTAAATAATAGGAATAAATTTATGATAAAATGATTTGTAATTTTTTTTTAGTAATGTATAAGAATTATGCTTTTAATTTCGATTTTCAAAATTTTAAGTATATATTTATTATTATTTTTATTTGTTTTAATTATAAGGAAGTATAACTTCTGCCCACCGAATTAGTTGACACGACTTCATGGATCAAAATTACAAGTATATATTTATTATATTTTATGAATATTAATATGTATATATATATATATAAAGGATCAAATTATATCGGTATAATTTTTAACAATTATTACACTAATTAATAATTTTATATTATATTTGAATTTTGTCATCCTAACAATTGAACCATAACTTTATAATGTATTTATATTAAATTTTGTTAAAATTTATAAATAATTTGAAGGTAATTAAATTATTTATATTTTAGTATATTTTAAAATTATATATTACATCAGTTATGACCCACAAAAATGAGATATCAAATTATGTTGAATTAATATAAAATTTTGTATATATAATCTAAGAGGAAGAAATTTTTTACCAATAATAAATTTTAAAAAATCTAATATAAAATCATTGAACAATATAATAATTAAT